TTTATTTATTTATTTATTTATTTATTTATTTATTTATTTTTTTAAAAAAAAAACAAAAAAACAAAAAAACACAGATTAACGCATGTAACTGTCCTTGACCTGCGCTACTCCGTACATGGTATACTATACATGTGTTGACTACCTGTCGTCTACAATCATAACTATCGTCTTCGTTGTCCTTACACATGGCGATACACATCAAATCGCACTCATAAATGTGCCAAGCTATCTGACAGAATTACTACATTACTTCTTTGATAAGTTCTCCAATAAAAGTTTCGTCCCCCCCCCACTTTCACTTAAAACTAGGGGTTTGGAAGTATTGGTTTACTATCAGGTTAGCTGTCTTTATTTGATCAATGTAAGATTATTACAATATGTTCTTGCCGCAACTGATAAGGCTGGGGTTTCCCTGTATCTATATCTTTTTTATGAAACCCGGAACCGAACACTAAACTAAAAAAAAAGACATTAATTACATAGAAAATCCGGGCGGCAACAACGAATTATGATTTGGATAGCTATTTAGCGTTAATCCTTGTCTGGACTTCGTAACGTCCGTCACCATCAAGCTAGATTCACGATTCACTACTTAACGAGATAACGATGCTTATACGGAGTAGAAATGAAATCAAGTTATTAATACTATATATACATTCCAAGGCCTTCTTACTCATATTCAAGAGACTAGGCTTGTAGCTAGATGAGGAGTACTCTATAGAGAGTTCTTGTATCATTTACTACTTCGCTGGACGGTGAATTTCTTTTGACAGTGATGGACGTTAAGTAGACATTGAGCTCGCAGCAAAGACTGTCTGTTCATCGACCAGTGACGTGTTTAGGCCATGCTGGGAGAAAACAATGCACCTATAGCAGGAGGCTGAACCCCCCAGAAACAATTTCGACAAATCTGGCCAGAGGTGTGTAGATTAACGATGGTCATACCGTATATACATCCGTCATTGTCAACCCTTCCTCCCTAAAGATCCATGCTTCCATCCTTTTCAACTAAGGGTGAACTCTCCACTCACCCCCTCAAACGATTTGATGGTACCACCTATGCTCTTCGCGTCTCCGTAATACCTGAAGCGGTACTTGCCAGCCTTCGAGTTCGCGTTCGTCTCCCACGTGAGCGTAACCTGGCTCGTAGCCAAGATAGTGCTGATCCTCTTCCACTCGAACACAAGCTCCCAATCCTTATCCTCAAGCACGCGTTCCCAGTCACCCGAGTCGTCGTTTTTCCGCTCAACCGCCGCATAAGTTCCTTCGAGACGGAGGTTGTTGCGCGGGTTAGCGCCGATGAAGGTTGCCTGCACAATATCACCTGCCGAGTATGAGGCATTGACATGGACATCAGTGACCACATCGCCGAAGCTCTTTCCGATACCGGCACTGTCTGCCACGACACCCGAGATGAAGTTCAGGCTGCGATTCCGGTTATCAGGCGGCGAGGGACCGGCGGGTGGTCCGCCGCTAGCGCTTGGCGACAGATACGGCAGGTAGGTCAGTGTGAGGTTGATGTAGGCCTGCAAAGTGTGCGGACCGTGGAGCGTCGACGCGCCTTCGTAGCGCTGCGCGCCATACTCTTCTTCCGTCGCAATGTAGTGTACGTAGCTGTTTCCTGGGGCACCGAGCACGACGATGGGCTGTGGGCTACCCTCAGATGAGAGCAGATCGGAAGACACAACTTCTTTGTGCAACGCCTCGCGCCAGCGCCGTCCAGACATGGTGGTCGCTTCACCGGGCGAGACGATGATGAAAAACTGTCCTACGCGCAGCACCTGAATGTCGACGATGTTTGCCGCCCAGGGATAGGGAAGCTTGCTCGCGCCAACATCCAAAAGAATCGGCTTCGGAGACTGGCATTTCTTCTGTGCGGCAGACGGTATATGGATGAGGCTACCGACAGCATTCCAGAACGGGTTGTCAGGTGAGTCGGAATCGCCTTGCGTGAAGTCAAAGGCGCCAGGTCCGTCTGTCGTACCGGCGGCAAACGAGTTGCCCATGGCGGCAGAGCAGGTAGAGACGTAGCTGCCGTTAGAGAGGGGAAAACTGTAGTCGGAGAAGTCGACAAACGAATGCAGAGACTTGATGGATCCAGATATGCTCGTGCCACCGGACGTCAATGAATCATAAATCTCTTTGGCACCAGCATACTGACGGCGACCGATCTCATAGCAACTTTTGGCTCCTCCATCATTCAAGCCGAAGTACGGACCTCTGCCATGGCATGGCTGGCTCTTACCACCACAGGTACTGTTCTCAAGTGAGCATTTCTGGTTGCTGCCGTCCTCGCACCAAGCATCGTTGACGTTTGGGCTAGTGTCGCCAACATTGGTCTGCGAGAATCCAGCCACGAAGCCTTCAGCAGCATTGGAGCTGGTTGCCATATCCTGCTCAAACAGGTATGCAGCCACACCCTTGTTGTCACCGGTAATGAGAGTCTGGTTTCCAAGCAAAGACGTGCCATGGACAGCAAACCATGTCAAGACACCAATGTCTTTCCCGTCGCTGTCACGCTGGAAACGAAGAAGTGTCATGGTTTTGTCGACGCTGTCAGTGTAGCGCGCGCGCTCTTTCTCGGGATTGTGGAGGTAGGCCCACAGGCTGCGGTTGATGTTGGCATCCTGAATGGTGGTAGTACCGACACTGAGACTTCCAGTGGTAAGGTTCTCGTGCGCACGTTTGATGGACAAAAGCGTTCCGTCTACGATGGCCTGGTAGCTCTGTTTAGAGAAGCCCAGACTGGTGATTTGCGGCAAGAGGTAGTTCAACCAGGCTCCAGGTCCGGAGTGGCTGTGCGTGCCCACAACGGCAACGTTGGAGTGGCTGTACATGGCGTAATCATCGCCCAAGCTCGCAAGGCCTTCCAGTATACCATTACGGATGGCCGTGTCGCCAGACTGGGTGTCCAGGATAAGATACAAGAAGCGCTCGTCGGGCTTGTCAACATCGCCAATGACAAAGGCGCGCGAATAGATGCGCTGGCGGAGGCCGGACCCGATTTGGCTCGTGTTGGCATAGCCCATCATGTTGAGCTCCACCACCGGGCTAGCTTGCGCATCAGCATGACTTGTTCGGGCAGAGCAACAAGTTCGAAACAGCCGCTTACCCAGTGATGTCCGCCTTGCCCACGCCGATCAAGTACCGGTCTCCGGCCTCAGCGGCAGCTTGATGAGTCGCGTCCTTGACACCCAGCTGCGTCTGCATGTCGCCATGGCTTCTCCACGCGCTGCCATCTTGCTGCCAGCGCCAGAAATCGACTTGGGGCAGGCCGAAATAGGCGAGGAGTTGGGTGAGAAAAAGCAAAGCAACCGTGGCGCCAGCCAAGGCAACGGCTATGTGAGAGCGAGCCATGAGCGTTGTCGGAGGCGAAAGAGGGCAAGAGGGGAACGGGATGGCGACGGGGAAGGGCGTACAAACGGGCGCGTGCCCGGAAAGGCTTTAAAAGCTAGCGGCGGCGAACGCATACTACATTATAGTAATCTACCTATGTATGTGCTATGATTGTGTAGTGACGGATGTAGAGATGTCGTCCGTCCGGGTTGCAGGCCCGTGGAGGAGATGCAGGAACGGCGGCGAGTTGTCCACGAATACAAGACGCTCTCCACCCGCCGCTTCTCCACATGGTCATTTATTTCCTTGGCCGCGCGCGCGCCGGCCCGAGTCGCCAGGAAACCCACATCTCGCGTCGCGCTCTTTACCTCGCTCTCTCCACCCACCCTAGGTCGTCTCGCCTGCAATCCACCCAACAAGTCCACGATGCCATTGATCCTTGAGTCGCACGACTCTCTTCCATGTGACTCCTTCCCCCTCCCCCCACTCCACTCCGAACCCACCTGGGCCACGCAACTGACCCCCCACCCGCCAGATATCGACGCGGCCCTCACGCCCGCCGCCCACGCCGCTGCCTCCGCCCTCATCGCCGCCGACCTTGACCCCGCCGCCGCCACGCAAGCCCTCCACCCCAGCATCCCCGCTTCGTATGCGCCGCGCTTCTCGCCCGCCCTCGAGACTGAGCACGCCCGCCTCGCTGCCGCCGCGCCCAAGGAACCCGGCACCGGCGTCGACCTCGCCCGCTACGAGGCCCTCGACGCGCCGCCCGACAACGACGCGGCCGCCTGGCGCGCCCTGCTGCAGCGCGCCTACACCAGCTCCGCGCACCTGGACGCCCGCGCCGCCAACCTCGCCCTGCTCGAGCGCTATGGCAAGAATGCCTGGCTCGTTGCCAACTCCCAACTCGAGGACATTCTGCGCGCCCTTGAGGCCGACCTCGCGCGCGCCAAGCTCGAAGTCGAAGCCATTGAGACTGCGCGGCGGTCCGCGCAGGGCGGTGTCGCGGCTGAGCTAGGCTTGCTGGACGAGGCGTGGCGGAACGGCGTCGCGAGGGTCATTGAGACTGAGGCTGCGGCCGAGGGTCTACGCCGGCAGACTCTGGAGCGCCAAAGAGAAATGGCGGCGTGAGTTGAGGGAAAAAGGCATATTGCTGACGACCACGCATGCAATGGATGAAATTAATTTCAGACGATATAAAAAAGAGCTTCCCTAATAACGGAACCTGGAATTGGTATGGCAGTGGCGTTCATGGGCGTTCTTTGATAGGCGTCTCGTGATACCTTGAACAGAGCTTCGCTGTGTCTGTACCACGCACGACCCAGAAGGAGGTATAGAGGAAAGGCGCATGCCGGACAATGGCAGCGCGAGGAGCACAGCACACGCAGTGTCCCGTCTGCACTGCATGTGCCCGAAAAAAATAACAAAATAAAAAAATTCAGGGAGCATGCAATAGCAACACAGTTGGCTGGTATCTAGATACTCCTAGCAGTGGTCAACAGTGCCGCAAACGACATAATAGATTCAAATTTAAACAACAATAGCCGACCCAAACATTGTCATCCAATGAACTTGTTTCATATGTACGTGTGAAGGCAATCATTAACAAAGACACCGTCCGCGATTCCACATCACCAAGCCAAGCCCATCACATCGGAAGCAAACACCACCAAAGCACAAAGCATGCAGTGACCGCAAATCCGAGCAAAGGGCAAAGGCAGGCTACTTTGGCCAGCACACTTAAGTAAGTAAGTAGGTAGAATAGTAGTGTGCGTGCGCGAGTGAAGGCCGTCTTGCGGCTTCGCGAGCGGGGTAGAGAAAACTAAGGAAATCGAGGAAGGGAAGTAGTAAGGTAGTTAAGACGGCGGCAGCGGCAGCAATAGTAGTAGTGGCGGCAGCGGCAGTACCAACGACGATAAAAGCGACAGCGACGACAAGCGGGGAAGAACGCCGTACAGGGATAAAAAAACAAAAGAGGAAAAAAAAAAAAATGAGAAAAACGCGCAATACCAAAAGTCACACCGAATCCTCCCGTCCAGCCGACCAACCATCCAGCCATCCAGCCATCCCCGAGTGTAGTCGTCCGGAAGTGTAGTCAGATCAGTCGTCCGTCCTTAACCTAGCCGAATGCCTAATAGTGATTCACCATCCGATTCCGACCAGCCTTTGCTCCTCCATACTCCTTCTTTTTTGCCCTGGAGACCAAGCTACACGCCCCCAAGGTGTGGATGTGTGCGCGTGCGCGTGGCGCAAGCGCGTGCCGAGACAATGAATACCGAGCAAGTAAGCCGTACCAAATACCAATTCCGTCGCTATGAGTGATGTTCCGCCTGAAGTAACAACCGTGGCTTGAGTGTGAGGCGATTGAGAGCAGAAAAGCTCTCTTGCCAACGACAAGGCGTTGCTTACGCAACGGAAGCCGTGTCTGGCTCCATTTGCTCAGCCAGCGGATCCGAGTCGTCGGTGAGGGGCAGCTTGCTCGGGTCGTTCCGCCTCATGATGCCTTCGACGGGGCCCAACAGCCTCTGGAAACCATCCTTGCCCAGAGTTGCAAGCTTGACTTCGGTGTTGCTGATGACTGAGGCAGCGCGAGGTGCGTCGTTGAGCAGAGCCAGCTCGCCAAAGTAGTCACCCTTCCTGTAGCGCTTGACGCTCTTCTCGATGCCACGCTTGTAGACCTCTGCCTCACCCGACTCGAGGATGAAGAACGACTCGCCGACGTCGCCCTCGCGTATGATGGTTGTACCGGAAGGATACTTGCGCGTCTCGAGCGCGTCGGCAATCTTGGATCGCTCGTAGGGCGTCAGGCTCACCAGTAGGGGCACTTCTTCCAGGAAACCCTCGTACATGCGGCGGCGTTGGAACGCGCTGTCCATTAGGATGCGGCGGAAGGTGACGCGGTCAAGAGCCCACAGAGTTGATGGCTCGGTCGAGGTGACGGTTGCGGCACGCGGCGCGTTGTACATGAGTGCGAGCTCACCAAAGGAGCTGCCAGGGCCCACGCTCGTGACCTTGTTGCCTGCGCCGTCCGGACCAGCTTCCAGCTTGCCGGACTGGTTCACGTAAATGTCAAAGGCGCCGCTTTCGACAACGTAAAAGTAGTCGCCGACATCGCCTTGCGTGATGACCTTGATGCCCTTTGTCGGGATGGGCTTCTCCTGCAACGCTCCGAGCACCAGTGCCGATTGTTCGTCATCAAGATGAGAGAAGAGGAAGTTGCTGGCGACAGCGGCCTTGAGGCGGGCCTGCTGGTCGGCCGTCTTGGGGTGGTAGGGCGGCGACCAGTTCTCGTGGATGGCGGACGTGGGGTTGAGCGACTCTGCGGAGACGGAGGTGCGACGACCCATGTTGTAGTTGCTGGGGAAGCTCTGCGTATCCATTGCGTGCATGGCGGCGAAGCCGCTTGAGGCGGTCGGGGCCGAGCGCGAGGGGTTGAAGCCGCCGAAGCCGCCAAAGACACCGCTGGAGCCGTCGAGAGCTGCGGAGAAGGCGCTGCTGCTGTTGTGGGCGGACATGAGCGAGCTGGGGAAGGATGATGCGGTGGGCGAGGCGAGAAGATCGTTTTCGTCCTCCTCCTCAAGGCTCTGCATGCCCAGAGGGGTGCTGGGCTTGCTCGAGGGCGAGGTACCAAAGGGATTGCTGCCGGGGAAGTTTGTCCCTGGCATCAAGCCGCCCGGGCGTTCTGAGGAATGCTGCTGGGTCAGCAGGAACTCGGCGCGCTGCGACTCGAGGCGGCGGAGGAAGAAGTTGGCGCAAAACTGCAGCACGTCCTGAGGCTGGTGCTTGAGGACCTCGCGATTGAGGGCGTTGATTTCGTTGGAGTAGTCGGGTGGTAACGCCATTGGAAGCGTCGGGAGCCGGTTGGGCGGGCTGCGTTTTAGAGGGCGAGAGGGGTCGCTCGCTGCTGCTGCTGCTGGGGCCAGGGTTGAGGTGGTGCGAATGGGCTTTGACGTAACGGAGGTAACTTTGCGGCCGGCCTGGTCCGAGGAGCGCCCGATGCAAGATGCAGGCGAAGAATGCAGGTGGGGGAGGGTGATGGGTGGGTGTGGTTGTGAGGGTGAGTGAGAGAGGAGGAGGGAGCGAAAGAAGAGGAAGAAGAAGAGAGAGAGAGCGAAGACACAATGAACTCAGGAAGCTTCGGGCATGGGAAGGATGGGCGCGATGGACAAAAGCAGCGAGGCCAGGGCAGCAGCGATCAGACGGTGAGCCGGGGGGGAAGGGCAGCTAAAGGGTGCGGCGAGATGAGCGCTGATTCAACTCTCTCAGCCAGGCGGGGGCGTTCGTCGCAAGCGCTTCTGGCCGCCTTCTCGAAGAGCCCGTCGAACAACTTTATCACGCTGCACGACAGCAAATCCTCAGCCATGTGCCTGCGCCTGCCCCTGCCCGCCTCCTGAACCTCCGCCCGGACGCCGCTAGCATCATAGCTTCGACGCAGCCTTGCAGCCACCCGGCTGCCCTCCTGACGCGCCGCCTCCTTTCGGTCGAAGCCTGAGGGCCGATCGTCATCCGCAACCGGCTCGTTTCACCTCGCTTGACCTTTCCCGAGCCCTTCCGCCTTCCGCCTTCCGTCCAGCCAAGCAGCAACCCTCGAGCTCGAGCAGTATGCTTGCAACACTTGGAGATCCGCCGCCGCCGCCTTGGCTCCCTTGGGTTGTTTTTCTTTTTTTGTGCACCTTGAGGGAACCACCACCACAGGTAGCCGTGGCGTTGAACCATTCATTCTTCTTCTTCTTCTTCTTCTTCTTCTTCTTCTTCTTCTTTTTCTTCTCTTTCTCCTTCTCCCTCAACTAACTTCTTCTTTGCCTTCTTTTGCCCATTCTTCTGCCTAACCACCATCACATCTTGGTTGTACAGAGCTCATTCGGCAGCAACCCAAATCGACCCATATCCACAGCTAGCGCAACACGGCCCAGCAATTTACTCGTACATAGGAGTACAGCTAGACAGTTACTCCGACTCCTACCTGCTTGCTCCTCATCTCCACAGCCACAAGCATTGTTACCTACAGCAGCCCCAAGCCACTCCTTTGCTACACGACACATACTCAGCCTCAACCTAACACAACAAAGTGCTCATTGCTCCAAGACATCCCGTCACGGCCGGAGACAACGCGACCAACGCCTCTGCACGCCAATCTAGACTCAATGGACTTCCAACTGTAGCTGGGGTTTGCCTGATCCACTTCCACCACTCAGCCGTGGGTCATTATGCAGCAAAGATCCAAGAAAGGACCGTCATGTCCCTTATGTTTCTGATACAACTAACTGAGTAGGCAGCCCCCATTGTCTACTTGACAACAAGTCGCAGTCAGGCACACCCAACTGTGTACCATTAATAAACAGCTGACGCAGAATACTAAATTTGAGTGTTCCAACACTGCACGGCTCTGATAGGCAGGCATGCAAACGAGCTATCAAGAGCATTTCACTTCGCTTCTCTCCACACATGCACTTGCCGAAGCCCTTTGCAGATACCATAATGCAATCTTTTGCACGTCATGTTTTGATCAGCGAGCGCAGCGAACGCCATGCTGGCCGTCGATCGTCTTCGGCAGTATGATAGTCACTTGGGTTTGAACTGTCCCCGAGTCGCACTACGCGGGGGAAGATGTGCGTGGGGTGCATCGCCAATGACGTATGAATGCTTGACGAGTCTCCACTGACCCCTTTAGTGTAGATCTTCTTATCCCGAGCGTCACAGAAAATTTCCTCGGGGCAGGCACCAATGGGTCGCGACTCTTCGAATCCATAGAGGAGAAAACCTCTTGCCAGAGCAGCTTGGTGCGTATGACAGACAAATTCATGCTTGCGCACTGAAATCTCAGGCGCCACGTCAACCTACAGGCCGTCTGCTTGACCAGCGAATATTGCAGGAAGGCAGGTTCGTGACTCGGAACCTCGGCAGAAATAATCTTGAGAAACAAATTATTTCATGTTTCAAGCAACCAGAGCCACCATCGTGCCCGCAGCTATTTCTAAAACCTCCCCCTGTATGCACTGTTCAGAACACCGTCTCGCCACACTCCTTTCAGATTTAGCGTCGCATCAATATCGTCCAGTGGGTTTCCTTCTACCAGGATTAAATCAGCCTTACGCCCCTCCCTGATAAGTCCTCTATCTGGGAATCCGAATTTCTTGGCAGTCAAGCTCGTAGCTGAGCGCAGGGCCTCCTGTGGTGTGAAGCCGCATTTGTTCACGAGCAAAAATAGCTCGTGATGGGTGGAGAGACCGAAGGCAGTGCCAGGAAGAGGACCGGCGGCGTCAGAGCCACTGTACGAGTGTCAATTTGCAAATTCTAAGCCTCCGCGGAACGGTAAGTGCTCGGTCGAGCAGTCTTTAATCTTTCACTTTTCCATAGAGTCATCGAAATTCTTGAAGGATGCCCTGTCGCACTTACCAGATGATGTCCACTCCCGCTTCCTTCAGCACCCTCACACTTTCATATGCAAATTCCACTCTGCTTCCTTCCGCCTTCATATTGGCACATTGGCACATTTTCTCTTTTTGTCCCTTGTCCAGCAAACGCTCCACTCTTGGATCGTTGGCAAAACGTTCCTGCAGCTCCCTCCCCTCCCCCGTTATGGTGCCCATGGTCGCTAGCGTCGGATTAAGCCACGCACCGGTACGCTGATATGCCGCAACGAGTTCGGGTGTAGGAGACTGGTCGCAAAAGGTATGAGTGAGCCCGTCGATCCCGGTCGACAGCACGGCCAGCGTGTCAGACAGCGATGTGGCGTGCGCAACAACGACGCGGCCGAGCTTGTGAGCGGCATCGACAACGGCGCGCTGCAACTCGACCGTCGGCTGCGGTACGCTAAGCCCTAGAGCCACACCGGACTCATGCATCAGCTTGACGTAGTCGCCGCCTTGGGCGGCGTGCGAGGCTACGAACGCAGCGGCTGACGCCGGCGTGTTTAGTTTGGGCCATGTCGATATATCGGCCAGTGTCTAGTTCCGTTAGCAACATTCGACGCCTAGCAAGCCCAATCACACGCCTCTCCGTGACCCACGCAAACACACTGCCCCCGCAGATTCACTTACCTCCTCACTTCGATTCTTCAGCGTAACGATCGCCTCCGGCCAGCCGCCCTCAATAGTCGCCGCCAGCCCCGCGGCCTTGTAATCCGCGACGTCGAGATCCCGGGCCGCGATTTCCTTGAGTTGGCGCACACGCGGGAACTCATTATGCATGTCTAGCACCGTCGTCACGCCAAAACGCAACGCCTGCGCGATGGCGTCTGGGATGTCTCTGTGGGCGTGGATGTGCGCATCTATGAGGCCAGGGAGTAGCGTATGCCCCGGGAGGGAGCGCGTGGGGACGACAGCAGCTACTGAGGAATATATGGGAGGAGCGCCTGCACCCAAGGCCCAGATCAACCCGTCCACGACGTAAACGTAGCCGTGCTCGATGACGTTCTCGCCAGTAAAAAGGCGAATGTCGGTTAGGACGAAGGTGCTGCTGGCGTCCATGGCTGTTGTCATATTTTTTGGTACTGTCTATCTGCGCCGTCGCAGGTTTCTTCAATCGGGCGATGTCCTGGCGTTACATACGGTTTAGAGCGGGGGCAACCGGGTACACGGCTTTTATATGCCGGCATCGTCAGTATGGTCACGCATATGAGCGTCACGTTGCACGGCCGCCCTGGGCTAAGGTGGAGAGCCGACGGGAGGCAGGTGCTCGCTTTCTTACATTCTCCGCTGGGCCACCCGCGGCGCGCTCCCCGCATTGCGGGGAGGGAGGAGCTGCGCGTGGGGTCGGGATCGGGCACAGGCTGGATGGGGGCCTTGGGGGTCCCACAACGTCGGCGCGTCCCGACCCGCCCGCTAGGTAACTTCCTTCCGGTTGCGCCGACGCCGCGCGGCCTGACGGAGACGCATTGGTAAATAGTCCTTTGAGTGCTTGATAAGTGGAGCGGAGCTGGTGTGCGTATGGATGTGGTACTGGGATTTTGAGTGTTGGGTGCGCGTCTGCGCTGCCTTGGCCTACTCTAGCTGCCTTGCTTGCGGTTATATTTAAGTTTCCGGAGCTAAATTTACCTCAGTTTAAGCCTTGTCCTGCCAAAGATCACTGAATATTGGCAACTGATTGCGATATGTTTCTGGTTACTACGACCTCTCAAATCGTTTGTTTCGTTGCTGTTAAGCTCAAGTTCCTAGCCCTTGTCCTGGTCGTTAAAGTAGGCTCTGAAAAACACAAGTCCTCTTTCTAGGTTCAACTAGTGATGTCCAACTACAAAGGACTATTTTAGTCTAATTATTGGGAACTGGCGATTGCTGGTAATTTGCTAATAAGAGAACGCGTCAATTCCAGCGTAAAAGAGTGTGATGCATTAAATGGGTTTCCTTGAGGCTGTTGCAATCTTATCAACAATGCATACCTCTTTTGAGTACAAATTTATTCTTTAGATAGGCAAACAATTAGTTTTTTTTCTTAAGGAATTAACCACAAGATTTTGTTTTCCCTATATGTTATTGGTTTGTTTGTTCTATATCTTTCTATGCCCAGCTGCCGTTACTGCCTATTGATACTCTAATCCGATAACCCCTGACTGTAGAGGCGGGCAAATTAACAAAGGGCGGATGGGCAACTGTAAGGTTGCAGTACCGGGTGTAAATTCTCTATAGTGGGAAATAAGTGTTTGCACACCTATGCGGTTTGGGCACGATGCCATTCGAAGAAGATGTTTTTTGTAAATATACTTCGACTGCGCTGAGCTGCTACCCGAGTTAGCCTGGTAGGTTATAAATGGATTGTTGTGTTGTAAGCTCTGCTAGACCTTATATATAGTAGCAGTAATCTCTACTTCTCGGAGAGGCTTGCTCGGCTTTTAGATAAAAATGAGTATCAACGTATATCTTAGTCGTGAGTTGCTGCTATGAGACAGGGGTGCGGTCAACAATAGCCAACCTTTTATAATAAAATCAAGCACCATGTAAGGTTACGGTGTATAGTTTTTCACTGAAGCAGTATGGTGGCTACCTTGACTATGCCTAACTGAAACAAGGGTTGAAGTGATAGGACCTTGAAAAGAAAGCAAATAAATGCATGTTGATTATGAGCAAACGGACTTGGGAATCAGACTTAAGCGGAAAAGGAAATCGAATACAAACGGACACAAAGGCCGACATCTACAGGCCCTAGGCTTCAGCCTATTCCAAAATTGCATGCCCTAGGGCTAAAAGAGAAATAAACAAAACTGAGACGTAGCTCTTTAGCTCTGCACGAGCCTCTATACTTTGTTGAGGGATTTTTCGCAAGTTCGCCGTCTATTCATTCCCAACTCTTCCCTCCGAATTACTCTTTATATTCGCCTATGCCTGAAATCATTCAAACACTGCATTATTTTAGCGACCTGCCATCAAGTATCAGTATATGAAGCCATGGCTCATGTTCTGAGCCGAACACGGGCGACGACTTCGATATCACAACCATCTTTCCACCATTCACTCTTCTTTCAAAAGAGAACGTCATAATCATCAAAAGGAATCTCGGCAGCTATCCGGACAGGATCCGCTACGCCGTTAAATCATGGCCTCTGAATTTCAAACCCGACGGTACACTATTTGAGAAGCAGCCAGAAGCGCAGAAACTAAAACTGAGTGTACGGGAATAATTTCAAAATTTTGGCGACGAGCACACTCATTTAGGCTCTGTTGGGGCTAACTTTTCTAGATACAAACGACGCTCTCTTTCCAGATGGCGCTGTTGACAGCGACTGGACTGAAATATTCAAAGAGGTATGTTCTTTTAAACATGCTGAATATCCTGAAACTGCTTCCATTCTAACACATGATGGCGTTTATAGGAAGAAGCTCAACTATGCCGCGACGCAAACCTCGATGTCAAGAGGGCTTTAGCCATGAACGTCCCTTCTGTTGTAGCTATTGAAAAGAAACAGAAAGACCAAGATAAACGTGTTGTCGACCTAGAAAATTACTCCCGGAAATCAGACGAGCGTATCGGAAGCCTTCTGAAGCAGATTAACAGTCTAAGGGACGAAGTCGAATCCAACTCAACGATCGCATTCGAAGCGATCGAATCGGCTACATACCAGAAAATGGTCCTGGACAAGTTTGATATGATAGGCGATGACAAGCAAGATCTTAACAACTTTCGAGGAGGTCAGGGGCGCGACATAAGGGCGTTACGTGTCAGAGCAAACGGCGTGCCATCGCTCAAGAGGAAGTTCGATGATCTCAAGAAGCAATGAACAAAGCTCAGGGTTGCTCGAGATCATGCAGGTTGATGGGTGTGATGGGCAAAGATCAATGATAGTATGTTATTATAGGAAATGAAGAACTGCAGTTTGGATTCTTCGCTGGTGGCAGGCTCTCGTTTGAATCTCTGTTATTTCTGGCAAACCGGATTAAATACTGAGAAAATTATGTATATATACGAGACTACATCTTCGGATTATGGGGATAAACTCTGAACTTTGTTCATTTGGCAGTAGAAAACTCTAGCTGGCCATATAAAAAGGCAGTGAAGCCTATGTACATCGCCCATGAGTTCACTGTTATGCACGATCGCAGGCTTTTAAGGTTTCAACAAACCTTGTACGAACAAGCGATAGTACGCCACCATAATTTCAAATATCATATATAAACATACAGTTGATTGTCAAAAAGCAACGTGCACTAGAGACTTGCGCTGCGGTATTTCTACCGGCACAAAGATCAAGATCTTATAACCCATATCATTCATTCACTCCCCCAGCCAGACCTATCCCTCCGCTCTCTCCACCTCACAAATCTCCCCAGCCAACCTCATCAAATCCGCATGTCCCGCACTTCCACAATCACTTCTTCAGTCACGGCTATGACATTAATTTCAGCCTACTACTCTGCTCCATCCACCGTGACAAACTGGCAGACACGTATCTAGACGCGATACCTGCGGATTTGCCGCCATGTCTATTCAGTGTTTGTTCACCGGGAGTGCCGGAGGCCAGGATGGTGCCCGGAAGGGCAGTGAGTATCATGACGTCACCACGTGTCGGCTTGCGCCAACAACGTCGCTTAAATTGGATTGGATCATTCCTAATAACATCAACAAGGCCACAATTTGTGTTCATATTAGGGCATCATGGGCTCGCGTGTGCTGTCGCAGGCACCGCGAAGCATAATTAGTGTCCAAACGAAGCAGGTACAAATACTCCTTTGGGTGTTGACATGGATTGCCCACGAGATGGAAAGCTTGTTTTACTCCGTATGAGCTTGGCGTATATTTATGTCACTTTTGTATACAAGAGTAAACATGTTGTAGTACGTTAATTTTTCTTTCATACTTCCCAGAGAACCATCTTCGGGGGCGGCAGCATGAGCGCCCTCACTGTCGGCTATCACCCCTGCTCACAATAGAAAAGGGGGCGCCTACGAAGCAAGTTCGATAGGCTGACAGACTGTCTGTGAGACGTTACACCACACAGCCGCACGATACAGGGGTAAGGTCTCAAAAGCGACCACTGACCCGCTTTTTGATATCAAATTAAAGATTTCCTTTTCTTCTGACTCTCATCCCCTGAATCACATCATCATGTTTTCTCCGTTGTTTAAAAGAGCTGGCTGCGGTGTAAGCCCAGTGTGCCACGGGCGTTGCTGTCTCTCCGAACTATGCTGCGGCACATGCTGCGATGGCACCGGGCAATTCTGCTGTGGTAAGAACAGCTGCTGTAGCAGCGACCAATTCTGCTGCGGCGATGGGCTGTGTTGCTCGTCCGAGGAATCCTGCGCCTTTTACCAAGACCTCTCGAACGAGACGCGCTCTATCTGCACGACCGGGACCGGAAGCCCAAACGCCACCATAACCCTCGACTTCGACTCTCCATCCACCGCGTTATCCAACACCACCACCAGTAGCAGTGGAGAGACCACGACCGCAGCACCAACCAGCAGCGTATCAGCCCAACCTACCACAACACCCCTCTCCTCCTCTGCAGCTCCCACCTCCTTTCCACCAACCTCCACCCAAGCCCAAACCCATATATCTTCCACAAAAGACCTCTCTGGCGGCATCATAGCCGGCATCGTCCTCGGCGCTCTCAGCGTGCTTCTCCTCATAACAGGAGCCTACATTTTCCTCCGCCGGCGAAAGCAGCACAACCAGCCTCAATCGCCCTCCGAAAAACCCATTGGTGGCCGCCACGAGCTCAGCGCCGAGAGCAGTGACCCCTCGAAGCACTTATCAGAAGCCGAGGCCGTCGGGACAATGGTTAATGAGATGCATGTGCCGCCGCACGAAGCGGGTGGCGCGGCTGTACACGAGTTGGCGGCTGAGGAGCCGGCGGTGGAGGTAGGAGTGGGTGATGGAGATGCTGGGAGCGGAGGGCGGGCAAGTGTGGAGGATAGGCGGGTCTGATAAGAGGGCAGTAATGAGTGCATATTCGTGAGAGCGAGAGGGATCGTTGCTAATGTGTATTCGGGTTAGCAGACAGTAGGTGTAGGTCCCCGTGGCTGGAGGGAAGAGACCCCTCTCCCTCTGCACAGAGTTACTTGATATAGCTCACTACGCAGGGACAATTCCACTAATACCTTCCAGCAGACATGCCTTTTACCCTCAACCAACCCAAGTACGCCCCGTATTTTTTTACTTTCGCGACTACGTCTACCCGCAGAACCCTCTATATCTACATTCCCGCAGGCCCAGTACACTCCCAGTGCCTAGCAATGAAGCTCACAAGGCATTTAAATCAAGCCAGAGTGACGAAAAAGTCGCACAGCATGACAATCGAGAAACAGACATATAAACAGACAACAGGCAGACGAGCATGCGTTTTTTCCTTTGCGCAAAACAAAGCGACCGTCCCATCCATTACTACTCTATGCAATCCGCCGCCGGCTCGATGCATTTTGTCAGGCTTGTCCCATGATGTGTTTGTTGTGATGTGTAACCCAACCAGCCGTCAACAAGAGAGAAAGAAAAAGGACCAAGGAGAAGAGAAGAGAAGAAGAAGAAGAAGAAGAAGAAGAAGAAGAAGAAGAAGAAGAAGAAGAAGAAGAAGAAGAAGAAGAAGAAGAAGAAGAAGAAGAAGAAGAAG